TTTGCTTCCAACACAGTTCAAAGAGCATAATTTACAGATGAGCTTATGCAATGCAACCCACGATTTGTAAGCAATTTCATTTTTTTATTGTTATTTAGACTTTATGCATTTCTTTATGCGTTGGGTGTCAGAATGTGTGGCAGCTGATGTGATCTAATTGCAAAATGGTCTCCAGTTTATTGTTAGTTTCACAAATGTGAAAGACTTTCTTTTTTTTTTAATGGAAGATTCATTAGGGAATACAAAGATGGCAACGCTTGGAACTCCAGTCTGTATCAATCTCTTCCCAAGAGCACAACAATTCAGGTACTTCTAGATGTAAGCTTGTTTATGACACGTCATTCTCAACATTTGATAAGTCCAAGTATACAAAAGTTGTTTAAATTGGCATCTAATGCTCACATACCATCAATATAGTTTCATCAAAACCACAAGTTTCCACTGTGATCTTATTTTGAAATAAGCTTATACCACATACAGTAAATAACCATTCATGCTGTGGTAATCATCTCTGAGAACCGCTACACATTTACAGATGTCCAAAAGAAAAAGTTCGCCTCTGCTATATGTATCACATGGTTATGGCTATCTTTCATCTTGCAAAACAAATGTGATTTATCCACCTACTAAGAGTTACTGGTAGAATTAACGTCGTAGACGACGAAGGTCCCGTCAGACACTCTGACGTGAAGGCATTTTCTCTGTCGTTTGGCTTTGTGTAAAAAACTGATGTTTTACTTAAGGGGAGGACTGGCTAGCAATCATTAATTTCATGAAGTTTTTCAGGAAACAACTATTTTCTTTCAAAAGAAAAAAAACATGTTTGTATTTGCAAACAATGAAAGTGTACGTAAGGAGACTTTTTAAAAGTAACTAATCCTTGAGTAATTACAAAACCTTCCTCTGTTTCAATGTGCTGTTCCTGTCTCAAAGTTGTGCTGTTGACACTTTCGTGCACATGAAGGGGAGTACAAATCGCTCCAATTTCTTTTTTTCAATTTCTTGTAAAATCTGAGGCCAACAGAGGTGAGGTGTTTTTTACAGGCCTGTCAGTGTGCACGTATGTTTTTCGTGTTTCACTACAGTTTGACTGTAATTACAGTGTATTTAGAGTGTTTTCATCATCCATGTGCCACTGTGTGTACTGGATCTCACTTGGAAGTGACAGCCTTCTTAGTAACACTTGCTCTCCTGCTTCCTCCACCTCCCGCTCCTCCTCCTTGCCAGAGATGGCTGGGGATGGTGAAGGCGTCCACGCTCATGCCCATCGTTTTAGAGGGGATGGCACTAAATTGCTTCCTGTCTGAGCTGTATTTGTAGATGGACTCCACCTGAATGGAGCTAACCGTCCGTGGGCCCACCCCAGCCAATCGCACAAGCTCCTGGGTGTCAGGGTTCACGGTGTAAACGCCTCGAAACTGGCAGCTGGAATCGCGGAAGAGGATGAGGAAGTGGTTGGCAGGACTCTTCTCCATTTCCTGAATTTGGAAAAACATGAATAAAAGATGCAGTAAGCATATGTTGCATCTGAGTATGGTCTACACCAGGCATGTCTAAAGTCTGGCCCGGGGGCTGATCACAGACATCGGTCAGATTTTATATGGCCCTCGCTCCTACCTTTAAAATGCATTATTTATGGCCTGCCACCACAAACAGAATTAATACAGTGTCATTTCTAATCACCTCAGTGCAGCAACACCAGTAAGTCACTGAGCTACTGATATTCAGCTTCAGGAGATAATTATGTTATTCTACTCTCTATATGTGAATGAAAAGCAGATTTATTTTGTTAAGGCTTCAAAACCAGATCACCATAATGAAAATGTTTGTGTTAGTAAAGTAAAATGTAAAAAACAGCACAATGTTTATGCTTCAAAAAAGGACGAAGGATTATTGGTCCCTGGGTGATTTTAATAAATATGGCAATAAATATGGTGCCTACAGTTACAGAAATAGCAGAATTCACAATGAGGTTGATTAAAAGTTATGTGAAATGAGTCCTCTACCTCAACAATCTTGTTTTTTTGAGACTCGTTGACCTTCCCTGCGAGGCAGCAGCGAGAGAGCGCGTTGTGAATGATGAATTTATTGGACTTGAAACTTGGTTCCTTGAAGAGTTTTGGACCTGAAATGTAAAAAAAAAAACAGACACGCTGGTTTTTGCAGACCAACTACAGCTGAAAGCACTTGGCTATTGCTTACAAGTACAAAGGAACCGAGTGATCGCGTTGGACCTGCTTAACGTTGTACCTGAGTATTCTGGGGCAGGTGAAGTTCCATTTGAACCACTCTCCGAGTCCTTCTCTCCATTTGTCAGTCTGCTTGGTGTTACACAACCTGAAGGTGAATCAGGGCGGGTGCTGCAGAGAAACCAAGAGTGCCCTGGTCGCATTATGACATCATAATAGACAGCAGAGGTAGGCAGATTGATCCAAATATCGTTAGTATCAATATGAATGTTGGTACTGTATTTAAAATCTCACTGTGTTGACAAACTACCCTATAAGACGCTCGTGAAAAAACAACAAATTGTTGCATTATTGATGTCAACAGATTTGCCAACATCAGGAAGTACAGGTAGTATATTTTCTAGCATGCCGGCTACTTTATGATGAATTGGAGCAATGTATTGAACATAGAGGATAGAAACAAACTAAATTATTGAAAAACTATAAATAAATCTTCAATCCATAACCAGAATTTTCTTTTTTCAAAATTTTGAGTTAGTAAGTTAAATTTTTGGGAAAATAACTCAAAGGTAGGTATCAATATTTAATTAATAAGAACCAAAACAAATCCTATTTTTTTTTTACTTTAAAACTTTACCACTGGAATTTCTGATATTTCACTCGGATGCAAACACCTGGACAACTAACCAATGCTGCAATTTCTTAAGCTATGCTTGTGCTGCTGCGACCTGACAATGCAGCAGTGTACCTGCGGAGTCTCTTCGTGGGGTCACCACCATTGTTTCCTCGTTCGTCTGTGGCTGCCAGGTTGAGTGAGGAGTGAGAATAGACTCTGGTCAACTTAGTACCTGGGGAAGCAAATGGTAAAACATAAAAATAGTGCAGTCATTCAAATAATGTAGAAATACTTTTTTCGAAACTATTTTGGCTTTACCAGTCGCTCCCTTGGCGGGACTCAGAGATAGCTGCGTTTCCTCTCTGGTCATGCTGCGAGGCCGGGAGCGGCTTTTCTTAGTGGGAGTTCGTCCTTGGTTAGTCGATTTTTGCTTAAGAACTTTGTCCAGGTCCTCCATGAGTCTGAGTTGTTGCCGCCATGCGTACTCCCCCCGTGTAAAATCTCCACGGCGAGCTGGAGTAGCCGGAGGTGTAGGAGAAGGTGAGGTTGTAGCTGCAGGTGGTGTGCTGGAAGGTGATGCTGCTTTTTTTTCTGAGGATGCTAGTCTAAACCCAACCAAACAAATTTAGGTTAATTTTACACACATGCAACTCGAATTTGGACTTGTTTATCAAGAAATTCAAGAAAAGCAAATCTGTGGGGATTTACTTTGTATAGTTGCTTTCACAAATTTATAGAAGCACTACCTGATTTCCCTTTCTTGCTCATTCCACTGTCTCCTCTTCTTTAGTTCCTCTGTTCTCTTCTGCTGTCGTTCTAACAGTACCGCTCTACGCTGAGCCATCTCCCCTTCACTGTGAACCTCCTCCTACAAACAAAGAAGCATGTAATTCATGTGCATCCAAAATACACTTTTCCTTCTCCATTCTCTTTTGCAAGAACTCACCTTAAAAAAAAATCCAATTCCTCCTTTGGCTCCCACTTCGTTCTGCTCTTCACCTGGTTCTAACATCTCCGCCTCTCTTGCATGTCCGCCTTTCGATCCAATTTGTTCTTTTGGCGCATCGCTGTCTTCTATTGCCAAATTTAGTCGCTCTATTGGATCCAAAGGTTCAGCAGGGAGTAGTTCTGCAGGTTCCACAGCGGATTCTGTGTGGTCGCTCATGGAATCGGAGGAGAACTCCTGCCCCTCATCAGTTGGTTCATCGCTTCCCCCCTCTGGTCCCCCAAGAGATGATAATGATACTTCAATCAGGCTGCATTGCTTTCCCGCACCTGCGGCTCTTCCTCCTTCACCTCCTGTGCTGTATGCAGCAGACATGGACAAAGTCTCACTTTCAAATGAGCACTCGGAAGGAGCACCAGAGCTGCTCCCTCCAGCAGCTCTTAGACGATCTTGCCTGGGTTGCGGCAACCCTCCAATGACCCCTGTGTCTTCCTGCTCCAACTCCAGGCTAAACTGGGTGGGTGTTTCACTTGAGCCTGTGTCCGAGGTGCTCTCAGCAGCCTGTGGCTGCTGGGTAGCCTGGGGAGACTCCTGGGGAGTCCGGGGTCCACCGATACGGAAGGAAGAAGAGGTCTGTACCTGACACTTGCTGGGCGACACGCGCCGCAGGTGTGGGAGTGTGTCCACAGTTTGGGTCGGTGTCAAGACGCGATTGAGCGGAGGGAATTTAAGTTCGGAAGGCCGTGGGTGAGGCTGGTGTTGGATACGTGGATGGTGTTTGGGGCTGCGGGGAGTGGACTGACTCTTAGTGCGAGAAGCTGGGCAGGAGGAAGATATAATAGCTTTTGGTGATGTGGAAGAGGAAAGAAGATGAGACCGGCGTGATGGGGAAGAAGCAGATGGAGCATTGGAACCAGCAGGAATCACCCAAGCTTTACTGGTAGTCCTGGTTGGGGTTTTTGTCGGAGTTCTTGGTGGTGTTTTTGTTGGAGTGTGAGGAGGAGTTTTGGGTGGTGTTTTGGTATTATTTCTAGTTGTTGATTTTGGAGTTGTTCTGAGCATATTTTTGGGTCTTTGGTTGCTCATAAGTTGCTGTTGCTGCTCGGTAAGTTTCTGCATGTCCTTCTGTAGCGACTGCAGAGCCTCACTGAGTTTCTGCACCACCTCGTTGTATTCCACTAAAACGGCTTCCCCCACTTTCTCTGATCCTTTTTCTTTCTCTGATCCTTTCTTACTTTCAATAGAGAATGTGACCTGTTTCTCTAACCGCGGTGGATTGGAAACAGATGGCTTTTCTTTCTCCTTCTCGCCATCTTTCTTTTCTTTCTCCTCCTCCTGTTTCAGTTGTTCCTCCATGCGAGTGAGACGCTCATCAAGGGTCAGACTATCATCCGCTGCCTCACCCCCTCCTTCTCCTTGCTCTCTTTTCAGTTGAAGGAAAGCGGTTTTTCCAAGCCGCTGCCTGTGCTTGGCAAAAATAGCTTCGATACGTCTTTTTTGAGCTTCGATGCTTTTGCGTTTTTCCTCAAGACGAACTCCCAGTTCCCAGGCCTCCGAGCCAGGTTCCGGACCTCTGGGACCTGGGCTGTCCTGGCGCCCTACTGCACCTGCTGGGGTGGAGGGTGTGTTTGGAGTTGCTGGGGTTGTTGGGGTCTGAGCAGAAGCCGACTCTTCCCCAGGAGCAGAAGGGTGTCTTCTTCGGTTGTCTCGTCGCTCAGCAAAGCTCGTCATGCGTGGACTGTTGCTGGTGCTGTGGTTTCCCTGACGACCGCTACTGGGTCGTATGTTACCCGGGGCGTTTCTGGGCATATCGTCCGATGCTTCCGAGGAGTCAACGCTGCCATCTCGCAGTACAGAGTCGTCATCACGTGACATATCAGAACGTCCTGACCTCTCCCGGCTTTCTCTCCTTCCTTGCCTTTCATTGCCGCCCACTTCTCCTCCAACTGGCCGGTAGAGGATTCCGGAGCGACACGGAGCAGAGCTGCTGAGCTGGGGATTATCCTCTTCAGGCGAGTGCAGAAAGAAACCTGCTGGAGCTCCTTCAGGACGTAACCTGGGCTCTGGCCTGTCTGCCAAAGCTCCTTTCCCACCTTTCTCAGGTACCCGTCCCTTCTTCTGGTCTTTGCTGCCCGGTCTATGGACGACCTGCATCGCCTCCTCAATGGTCGGCAGCTCTCCCATTTGTGCAGTGTGTGCATATGGACCCCAGGAAGAGCGCTGCGATGGGGCTGAAGCGCTGACCAGGTGGCTGAGATCCTCCGGAGGGCTGTACGGGACACGAGTCATCCCTGCTGATGTCATCGGGGACGTCATTGCCGGGATGGCGGTGGCGAGGCTGTCAGTGCTGACGGAGCGAAAGACAGAATCTATTGGGTTTCCCATGACAATGTCAACATCACTGTCCAGGCCAAATGGGATGCTGAAAGTCACTGCTGACAGAGGACGACTGCAGAGAGGTGGGTGACAACGGAATGATGGATAAATGGATGAGTTGCACCAACAAGTATGGAAAAGCAGGGTCCACGGAAGCCAAAGTAAGAAGATTAAAAAAATTAAGATAAAATATGAGAGCAACACAACACTTACGATAGAAACCACATAAAGGGTTTAAGGATATCTACCTGATTTGTTTCTTTGTCCAGCTTTTGTTTTCTGCAAAGAAAATAACTCATAAGTCTCACACAACGGCTAATTGCACGCAAATGCAAAATAGCAATAGGCATAAAAGATGCGTGCCCAGTAACTGTTACCTGGGGAAACTGGAGAGGAGATGGGTACAAATGGTTGTTTAAAGATGAAAGAAGGAGAACCGCTGAAAAGGGACAACAGTGTTACACAACACAGCCAATTTTTGTCTG